GAGAGTCCTAAATCCTCACAATTTGCTAAATCTTTTGTTCTGGACTAGAAAGACATTTCATCCTCGACATTTCCTTTGGCAAATTCCCCAGTCACCCCCATTCAGCAGTCACTGTATGGCTCGATAGTTTGATAATATTCGCCTAGATAAGGTGCCAGGGAGAACTCGTCTGAGCTCAAACACTCTTTATTACTGCTGCTGACAGTGTCCTGACTTCAAATGGGGAATTAGGGCTTTCTGAGGAATATGGATGCTTGGGGTTTACTCAGGGTATCTCTGAAACACGGCCCTGGCGCAGGCAAGCCGATGGGAAACCAGCACTGGTATTTAGAGATGCTTGGATGGCGGGAGCGATGGGAAGCACTGCCGGAGGACGAGTAGCACGATGAAGATACGAAGTCCCAGATGGCTTATAAAACATCATACCAGCCAAAAATTAACTGTTGTGTAAGCACAGCAAGTGGCTTTTTGCTGCATACAGGGACTGGGCAAGAAGTGTGTCCCAGAACTGCAGCAGAGAGCTGGTCTCTGGCTCCGGGCAGGCGAACTGAAGATCTGGCACAGGCAGAGTCATCATTTAACAACCTTGCACTCCTGCCCGGAAGGTCCAGGGTAGGATGAGGGACCACACGGGTGGGGAAAATGAGGTGTGGGGTTTGTTTCAAAGGGAGCAAACTCCACGCTCCGCAGCCCAGCACGGCAAAGGCTTGGCAGCGTCACTTGCAAGGGAGGCAAGAGGCATCAGCACAGACTGGCTGAGGGTGACAGGGTCAGCACCCAACCTCAGAAAGGGTAAACTTGACCTTGCTTGAAGCAGCATCTGCTGCCAGCACATGGCTGCCGAAGCTCTGGGCAAAAGGCACGTCTGCACTGGGAAAATAAGGGGGTTCTTTCACTTGGACACTGTCAGCTAGCAGGGACGGTGCAGGAGGCATACGCATTGCTGCCCAACGCAAGGGCCGGTTGTCGCATCCTAATACAGCTTAAGGCTGGGAGAAAAGTCCTCCAGGTAACTGAGATGCAGTCGATGCTCGCATAAAACCAGAGGTGAGCCCCCCCTGCACCCCTCAGCCATCCCGCACTGCACAGACAGAGACAGACATCTCCTCCCTGGGAACATGAAGTCTTTTGCCAAACAGAAAGCCACTAAGAAACTGAGCAATCAGGCCCTGGGCCAAGTCACCAAGGAGCCCGCTTCCCAAAGGCAGGCAGCTTGGCCCTCGCCAGCACAGGCTCCACGGTTCCTCTCGAGGCACCGCAGAAGCTCTTTCACAGCCCCGCCGCGACCAAGCACATAAATCCCCGAGAAGAGTCAGGTCAGAGTCCCAGGCGCCTGGGATGGCATCACATGGAAATTATTCGGCCCGTTCCTTAGCGAAGGGCATCCATGGCCTTGAAGCCACTCGCTGCCGCTCGCTGTGGCAACCTCCTGGAGACGAAAGCATCAGATGCTCGCACCCAGCAAGCTGGCCTGCGATAAAAGGACGCTTTCTTCCCAGAAAGCTGGGAGCTTGTATGGCTGCCCGAGTTCAATGGCTGCACCCTCCCTTTCAGCAGAATTAGGGCACTGCTGAGGATTAACAGCCCTGACTACAAATAAGAGCAATGCTGAGCTGGCCAGAAAGAGACACACATACCAGGAGAGATCCCATTAACCCGAACAAATAAATAAGGATAATGACTGGGGGAGAAGCCCTGCGTTGCCGCAGCTGCGGTGTAATCTCTCCACGAGTTTCTCACTTGTACAATTCACGTCCAAGTCCAGCAGCGACAGTTTCACATCCTGAGGGTGTAACGTGGTATAAACCTGCTCACAGCGTGGTGAAACTAAGCAGGTACCAAAGCACACGGCTTCACTCTCCGCATGTTTGCCCAGGACAGAACTGGGAGCAGGACGAGACTGTCACTGCCTGCAAGGAACGCTTCTGGATCTGCCCTGGGGGATACAGACCCTCCCGAGAGGCAGGAGCTCCCCTCCAGCACCCTCTCATTGATGTGCACTATGAAACCGTCGCCTACTCTGCGTTACACGCTTATTCACACCCCACGAAGAATTTGCTGAGCAGTTGAGGTCCAGTTTGTCCTTGTGTAAAGCCCCAGCCAAGTCTCAAGTGGAAGAGGACTCTCCCTTAAGGCAATTAAAGAGCATCAATTCAGAAAATTCATTTTTTTCCTGGCCATCCTCCTCTTCCTCAGCTGGTCACAAGTGCAGTTTCGTATGGAAACCACCTCCCTACAGACTGGAAACAACAGCCTCCTCATCCCTGGCCTGCCTTCACTTCTGCAAAAGGAGAACGCAACCAAAAACTCGGTGATTTCTGGCTCGAGAACCATTTCCTCTATTATGTTCCTCAAACGAGCACAACCAGGACCCATTCCTACCCCAGGATACATGGACCGACTGCCTCATGTACCGACCAGCTGTCCAGATACCCTGAGGTCTGCCTGACAGCACTTCCAGGAGCTCTCAGAGCCCGCTGTGAGCTCACAGCACACGGAAAAAAAAGTCCACAGGACTTGAGTGATGGAGCTGTAGCAAGAGAAAACTTACCAACCGCGCCAGCCCATGAGACCCCATGTCCAGCCAGAGGAAACGCCTGCTAGCAGCCAGCTGGACCGCTCACACCAGCACGATTGGTAGGTTTGCTCACAGGCAGCTCCTTCGCTTCTCACAAGAATTTATTTACTTTGGAAACCGTGCCATTATCTTCAATATTCTACAAGAGATATAAAGGGGAGAGATGTTTTTTTTTTCCCTTCCTAATCAGGACAAGCCCTTCTCCTCCGGGAGCTGTCAGGCAGTCCTCTGCAGGATCTACAGCTTCCAGTTCAGCAGAGGAGCCTGGGACAGAGGCAAACACCGACGAGAAGGTACCTGCCAGTCCTCAGAGACACGACCAACACCCCGTCCTGCAGCTCGAGCAGCACAGGCACTTCTACACAGTTAAAAAACTCCCTTTCCGGAGGTCTGGAAAAGTTTTGTGTATTTTAGATCACGATTTCAAGCCGTATCATCACAATATCCTTGTTACCTCACAGTCCCCCTGCCAACAGAGGAAATAACCACATCAATTTACAGTCAGGGCATGTGCCATCAGTCCAGGTATTCCAGTTCCAGGGGAGTCTCTGCTCCCCCAAATACCCTTCCCATCTGCCTGATGGATGTTTTTTGCGGGGGGTGCGGGGGGGGACTGTGTGTGAACATGATCCTAACTTTCAGCACTTGGTTTAAGCCAATTGACACACCTGATTGGAGTTACCGCAGTTTTAATTAGCACCTTAAGCATGAAGGTGAATCAGAGTCCCCCAAAATCCAGGAAAGACCTCGGCAACTGCAAAAAAACCGCTCAGGATTACAAAGCTAAGCACAGTCACAGGGGAGACCACCACTCGGATGACAGCAGCCCCATTTGTTTGTTAGGGCCATATTCAAAGTTGGGCACAAAGGAGCTCAAACACCTGCGTATTTACATATTAACAGCAGGAAATCAAGCAATGGCTTAGAATAAACTGGCCAGGATTTCTGTTGTTGTTGTTTTAACTCTTGGTCTGACTCCGACACGCCTGTGCCAGCGCAGGCGTTACAGCCACTTGCCAACATCAGTGTTTGTTTTCTCCTTCCCTGATGCTGGGGGGAAATTCCCTGGCACTTTGGCTGCGTTTAAGGAGGAGTAAGAGGAGAAGCAGCTAAAATAAAGCGAGCCAGGATGGCCATGCTGCCAAGGATGCATAGGCACTCTGTGGAAGGGCCGGCCTCGGAGAGGAGGGAGCAGCTGCTCGCTCTGCACATACAAGGAAGGAGAGGTTTTGAGGCATGGAAGCCAGCGGATTGTGGGGCACCCTCGAGCGGCAGCTCCCCC